GTGTGTGTGTATATATATATAAATATATATTAGTATATTATGTATATATATGTATTGATTTGAATGTATACACAATGCTACAATGTCTGATATATGGATTGTATTGATATAAATATACACAGCAGCCTTGGCAATGTCTGTGATATCCATCATAACCCTATGAACTACACACATGTTAATATCTACCTACCACCTACCTGAGCAGCCTTGGCAATGTCTGTAATATCAGTGACATTGGGTGTCAATTTGGCAAAGAATGGAATGCTGACTGCGGCCCGTACCCATCTGATCAACCAAGGAGGAACGGGTTACTACAGCATGTAGGTTAACAATACACACAATAGGCACGTAGCTACACGCACACACACATAGCTACACACGCACATACATACACACATAGCTAAACACACACATATACACACATAACTATACACACACACACACATACACACATAGCTATACACACACACACACATACACACATAACTATACACACACACATACACACATAGCTATATACACACACACACATACACACATAACTATACACACACACACATAGCTATGCATATCTTTATAGCAACGAGGTGCGTGCATGCAATCACAGGACACATAGACTGTCCGTGCAGCAACTGTAGGGCGTATGTGTTTATTATGAGGACTGCTTATGACAATCAACTGCACCCGACCGATGACAGGCAAACTAAACCACAGCAATCTAAAAATAAACTATATCTTCATTACAGCATTCTAAAAATAGGCTACACTGTCAATATACCATTCTAAAAATAGACTACACTGCATATTCTAAAAATATACTACTCTGTCAATATACCATTCTAAAAATAGACTATACGGTCACCACAACATTCTAAAATAGACTACACTGCCACCACAACATTCGTAAATTATACTACAGTCACCACACCATTATAAAGATAGACCATACTTGCATATGTCCTCCACCAGGTCCTCTCTCTGCCCACAGGCCAGGCCCATGCCCTTCTCACCCATTCCATGGGGACAGGACAGGTTCAGCTCCAGTATATCCGCACCAGAAGCCTCGGTCTTCTTAGCCAACTCCACCCAATCCTCCTCTACATAGCCACACATGATACTCCCAATGATGATCTGCGCGTGCATGGACAGAGGCAGTGGCACTGGTAGTGAGTTACATGTTGTTGCCCATAAGCAGTGGCACTTGCATTGGTCTTGCGTTGCTATGCATGCATTGCGTTGCTAGGCATTTTTGAGTAGAGCAGAATCCCTGTGCGGCTGATGATAAAGCACGTGACATATATGCTACGATTTAGAGTTTACTAAAACGCCGAGAGTATTCTACGCACCCCTCACCTGTTCAGGGAAGTCACGCTTGAGCTGAGCGATGGACGTGAGCCAATAGGATGCACTCTTCTCACTGATCAGTTCTATATTTAGAAATGAGGTCTGCCCCGGTCCATAAATATGATTCGAGGTGGACCCTCTAACAATTCGAGGGGACACATTGACCACACTGTCCTTGTCCAGGACAAACGTTTTGGTCAATACAAAACCCCACCCAGCCTCAAAGGCTCTGCGGATCATGGGCGCTGAGGTGGTGGGGGGGGCACTCGCCAGGCCAAAGGGATTGGGGAAACGCACCCCACACACTTCAACAGACAGATCCACCTGAGAGAGTAGCACACACACACACACACACACACGCACACACAGAGAGAGTGTGTAAGAGAGAGAGAGAGAGAGAGAGAGAGACTGTGTAAG